TATATATATATATATATATAGACTATTCTATGTTGTGCTGAGGAGAAATGTTAACATTATTTTTCGAAGTCGAAAAAAAAAAGGTTTTCTTTCTCGAAAAGTCACTGTTTATTAGAAAACTATAAAGACCTTTTAGTTGGAAAACTATTAGTCTTATCCAATAATTACGTAGGTTAGAAGTTAGCAGAGTTGAACGATAAAACTAAAAGAAACCTTCGTTTTTCAAAGGGAAACCAGAGTATAACCAGAGATCTAACACAGTTCATATTATTTCAATTCTATAAAAAATGTGTGCGTTAAAAAGGTTAAAATTGTTTACAGTTTTCGTAGGTTTTTTATAAAAGCATTTAATTTAATTCCTCGTGAACTGCTGTTCTATAAGTCTATAGGTTACAAAATTATAATTGTACTGCTAAAAGAAGTAAATAATAATAATAACTTAGATGAATGGAAATCTTCCCATCCATATATGTCCATCCAGCAGAATGTTAACATTGGACATCACACTTGAGCCTATGATTTTTTCCCTCATTAATTGTTGTATACATTTATAAATAATGTTGTGATTATAATTATATTACAAAGTATATATCTTAAAATCAAATTTTGTATAACAATGCGCGAAATACTACCTTAGTCTTCTAATTATAATGTCTTTACGAAGTTTGAGTATATGATTAGTTATTTGTTTATCTTTCCTATATGAATAATCTGATTAGCTTGCAAGTAAAATAAAAAACTGTGAGGGTATTTTTGTTATTCGTTACGTTCATTGGATTGGTTAGTCGTCTATATATCACCTAATTAATAATAGACTTAGGTGCTTGTATAGGTTTTTAATCATAACAACGATATCCGTAATCTTAATATCTTACATGTTGGTATATACTTTGAATTTGGGATTTTATTGAAAGATTTTACATATTTTATGGAGTATTTTGTCTTAGGGTAAATTTGGGCAAATAAAATTTTTTAATATTTATAATATTGTTGAATATAATAAAATATTATTAAGTACATATAAAAACTGAACAAATAAATAGAAAACAAATTAAAATTTGAACAGAAAGTAGGGGTCGTTGGTTATTCGCAGAATTGTATAATAAGTATCCAAAACAAAATAAATGCTGCAATCAAGAGTACACAAACAAGT